TTTCTTTCTTTCTTTCTTTCTTTCTTTCTTTCTTTCTTTCTTTCTTTCTTTCTTTCTTTTGAGACACATTCTTGCTATGTAGTCCAGGCTGGGCTTGAAATCATTATGTAGCCCCACTTGACCTCCAACTCAAGGCTGCCCTCCTGAGTCAGCCTTCCAAGGCCCAGGTTATAGGCTTGGACCACAATACCCAGCTAAAGCATCTGACCTCCAGTTAAACTGTTTAGTAGACAGAGACACCAGACTCGGTCTGAGAATTTCTCATGAGGATGTGGGCCAGCAACAGTCAAACATGGGCCTGAGAACTTCAATCAAACCAGTGAAATGCAGTCTTAGTTTACCAAAGGGTGTTTCCTTCAATGTGTTATGCTCTCAGACAAGTCTCAGAAATTGTTTTTCTCTTCCTTCTTTTGTCTCCTTTCCATGGTCAGCTTGGGGAATCTGACTCTGGGAATTCTTGTCTTAGAGGAATGAAAAGCTTAGAAAGCCAACTTTCATGAGCACATACATAGCTCACTGTGGGGGCACCTTGCCCACATCCAGCCAGCCACTAAGGCCTCTTAATTTCACCTTCACGATGTGTTTCCTAAGTCACTGTCCTGCTGAGTCCACACCAGCTCTGCCAGGGCATTGCCATGGGTTCCTGCTTTCCTCTTTGCTAGTGTGGTCACCAATCTGACCACTCATCCGGGACTTGTTCTTCAGTTTTAGTTCTTTTTCTATGTTAAAAATGTTTTTTTGTTTCAGTGCTGGGGGAAGCCCAGGGCCTCCCACCCGGGAGGTGAGTGCTGTACCACTGTGAAACTGTGCTTGATCGGACCCCAAGCGCCATTTCAAACTCTGAGCCGATCTCCTCTCCTACTGCCCTTTTTCTCTCACCTTGTCACTGTACCTCCTGGGCACATGCTTAAGTTTTAAAAACCTTTTTAGGAATTACATTATTTGTACAATTTCATAAGATACTTCGTGCAACTTTGATTCATGTCAAACTTGATAAGATATGATTCATGTATGTATATATTGGCTGGTGATTAACTCAGGGTAAATTAGCAGAGCTGTTGTCTTAAAGTTTTATCATTTCCTTATGGTGAGTACATTCAAATTCTCCTATTTTTAGATATATAACTCATTGTTGTTAAATACACTTATCTTTCTGTGCCATAGAACACCAAAATTTGCTCCTCTGATCAAATAACGTTGTACCCATTGATCCACCTCTCCCTCCTCCCCCATTTTCCTGTTTCTACCACCTTCTATTCTGCTCTCAGCTGTTGAGGAATAAATTTGTTTTGGACTGAGGAATGAACAAAGGCCACCACATTAAGCTACATTCCCAATCTTTTAATTTTTTAAAATTTTTAATTTTATGTTTTTAACTAAGTTTTTTGTTTTGTAATTTTGTTTAGTTACTAATTTTTGTTTGTTTTTTGTTTTTAGTTACTAATTTTTTGTTTTGTTTTGTTTTAGTTACTAATTCTCAATCTTTTAATTATTTTTTAATTTTTAATTTTATGTTTTTAGTTACTAATTTTGAATTACTAATTTTTTTGTTACTAATTTTTTTTGTTTTTATTTACTAATTTTGTTCACTTTTTGTTTAGTTACTGGGCTGGAACATGGGATCCAACTCCTCCTCCCCAAAGAAACAGGGGATAATAATTCTTCCCATGTAGACTCTTGTTGAGAAGTAGATGAGGCAGTAGCATATGCAGAATCTTATAATTTTAGATATTTCTGTTATTATTACTTAGCAGTAGTTAAGGTTAAATCCATAATTCTCTTTCAACTTCTGACAACAGGGTTAAGATTCCCTTTGCAACAGGGTGCTCCTGAGTCAAAGTTACCCACAGGTTGGGCTGGGGATTTAGCTCAGTGGTGCTGCTGCCTGCCTTGCAAGCACAAAGACCTGAGTTCGATCCCTGGTACCAAAAAAAAAAAGGTTACCCACAGGGGCTGACTGATGCAGGCCTCTGTCTCTAACACAAAGCAGCTTCTTGGGAGCTCAGCAAAGCAGTGTATGGTTGGGCTTGGATGCTAATTTTGCAGCCCTGGGCCAGGAGGGGAGCGGCTTCAGTACTTGGTGCTGGGAATTTCCTCCCTGCCACTGAGAGAAGCAGAGAAAGGTGCATATGATAATTCAGCACTGCATCCTACTTTGCTGAGGACCCCATCAGAGTTTGACTTCCGACATCTGCCCTTCTTCTCCCTCCCCCAGTCCCTTTCCCTCCTTCTCTCCAGGCCCATTCTCTCTGCTGGGTGAGGATTTTTTTTTCCAACTAGCTAGTTAGTGCTTCCTTCAGGGAGAAGGAGCTCAAGGATCTAAAGAGCCCTCAAATCCTCCCTGAGGTGCCTGTTGTCCTGCCTGCTCCCTTGCAGCCTCCTTCCTCCCTTTGGCACTGTGCTCTGCAGGGCCTGATGCTTACTGCCCTGTGAGACCTGGCTGGGGCAGTCCCTAGCCCAGGACAGCTCCTGTTGGAGGTCTTTTGGAGAAAGGGCTGAAATCATGTTGTGGTTCGTGTGTAGCGGGGAGAGAAACAAGGAGTGAGGGAGGGAGAAAGAGACAGAGGAGAGAGAGAGAGAGAAGAGAAGGTGGAGGAGGAGGAATCCTAGAGGAGAGAAGAGAACTCCTGTGATGTTAGAAAGTCAATTGAATAAAATGTACATGGACTCAGTCTTAGGTGGGGACAGGGAGAAGAGGGCTGGGCCAGATGGGATTAGGGCAGGTGATCAGAGAACTGGTGAGTTTTCCAATGGGTCCCGTCCCAAACTGGATGTGAAAGAGGCTTATGTAATACTGTCTAATTCTGAGTAGCATGCCCAGGGGGCGGGTCCTCATTTCACAGAGCACAATTAATTTCAGAGAGCTGTAGCAGCTGGCTTGGTCACAGACAAGGAGACTGCTGGGTCTAGGATGAGAACTTGTAAATCACCCTGAGGAAGGGAAGAAGTGGACGTCCTCAGACTACAGAGTAGGAAGTTTTCACCCTGAGCTTCCTTTTCTAGTTTTTGTTGCGGTCAGGTCCATTCCTCTGGAGGAGACATGTTTGTTCACGTGCATCAAAATGGGTTCTTCTTGCTCTCTTCCTCTCAGCTCTTCCTGGTGCAGCTCTTAATTTCTGGAATGTTCGGTTGGTTTCCTTACTGCTCTGAATATGTGAAAAAGCAAAATGAAGCTGGCATGGTGGCTCATGCCTGCAGTAATAGCACTCTGGAGATCAGTGCCAGCCTGGGCTACAGTGAGATTCTATCTCAGAATCATACAAACAGGCCCAAAAAACAGAATGACAACATTGGAGAGATGGTGATGTTTTTCCTTTCAGCAGGGTGTCATCACCAGCCATGATGGTAGCCCAAGGAGATCCTGCTTGTTGCTGGTTCCGATGTTTATATGGTCACCAATGCCTTGGATACCAGGATTGGGTGTCCTAGGGGATATGATGAGAATGGAACCTCAGCTATAGTTCACAAAATGAGAAAGTAGTCAGATAGTCCTGTTTAGACTTGAGTCCATTCTTGCCTGTGTTTAGAAATAGCCATGCTCCTTACTCCTTAACCCCTTAGTTTTTGTTCTTAGCTTTCAGGAACCTGTAATGTTATGGAGAGTCAGTCTTGGAATTTTCCTTCTGCTCCAGTCTGAAAAACGCACAGTTAGAAGCACAATACTGACTGTACCTTGCTGAACAGAGCCCCTCAAAGGGGGAGCACTGAGCACGTCCCTAGGCACTGTCAGCTGCCTGACTTTCCACCACTGATGGAGGAGAGACTCCTGTGACGGCACTAGACCTGGGGACCACTTCATGTTCCATGAACCAGAGGGTGTGGAGAACCTCTTTCACTGGGAGGCCCCTGAGCTGTTCTTTTATTTTGGCTTCACTAGAATTAAAGGGTGATCTACTTGAATTAACCAGTGATGCCGAGAGGAATGTTGTTACAGAGGTAGCCACAGACCAAGATTCAACTGGCCTATTTCAGACCACTGGCCTAGAGATGGCCAAGACATACTGTATCAGGAGGATATCCAGACTTTCAGGAAACGTGGGTCTTGCATCACAGGAGGCCTGGTCAGGCACTGCTGGCCCCAAACTCTAGCACTCCTGAGAGAACCCTGCTTTTATCCAGTGTACTTGATTTTCACTATTAAGTACAATGGTATCTATGTTCTAGTTTGGTTTTCCAGAATTCTCTACTTATGTGGTATTTGACATGGGCCGCCCCCCCGACCTTTTGGAAGAAACCAGTAAGATCAAAGATAAAGAATCATGTCTTCAAATATAGAGCACTTTTTTGGGGTCTCCTTTTTCGTGCTTGTATCTCGTTAGTTAGGAAGTTTCTGTTGTGGTAACTTACGTTTTGGTATACTTTCGCTCTTTTCTTTTCTTACATAAGTTAGACTTAAAAGAAAAACACCTTTGAAATTTGAGAAGAGTCAAAGCATTTTCCATAATTTTTTTTGAAGGGTCTGGCTATATAGTTCATGCTGGCCTTGATTTCTTTAGTATTCCACACAAAAAGACCTCAAACTCGAGAGGATCTTGCTGCCTCAGCCTCGAGACTGCTGGGATTACAGGTGGGTGCCCCAATCCCTGGGTT